CTCGGATTGGGTGGGCAAGTGCGAAGACATGGATAGCTCGAGCATACTGCGGAGGCAGGTCGATTATTTCTACTTGGTTCTATCTGGTCTGCTATTATAGTATATTTGTTCCTAACCCCAGTGGCAGGTTGAGGGAGTTCATTATGGATAATTTGAGCAGTATGAAGACAAAATACACCATGATTAAGGCCTCCGGGCTGGGTGGTCGCTTGTTTAGTACACCCCTTGGGATGGGCAGGTTGACCTCCCGTTTCGAACATTCCTCGGATTGGGTGGGCAAGTGCGAAGACATGGATAGCTCGAGCAGACCTCGGAGGCTGGTCGATGATTTCCACTTGGTTCTATTTGGTCTGGTATTATCGTATATTTGTTCCTAACCCCAGTGGCAGGTTGAGGGAGTTCATTATGGATAATTCGAGCAATATGAAGACAAATCCACCGTGATTAAGGCCTCCGGGCTGGGTGGTCGCTTGTTTAGTACACCCCTTGGGATGGGCAGGTTGACTTCCTATTTCAAGCATTCCTCGAATTGGGTGGGCACGTGCGAAGTCATGGATAGCTCGAGCAGACCTCGGAGGCAGGTCGATTATTTCCACTTAGTTCTATTTGGTCTGGTATTATTGTATATTTATTCCTAACCTCAGTGGCAGGTCGATGAAGCACATTACAGATAGCTCGAGCAGGTTAATGGTTCTATTTGATTTGGTTTTGTGGTATTTGTGTCTTTGACCTCAGTGGCAGGTCGATGGAGCTCATTACGGATAGCTCGAGTAGGTTAATGGTTCGGTTTGATTTGGTTTTGTGGTATTTGTGTCCTTGACCTCAGTGGCAGGTCGATGGAGCTCATTACGGATAGCTCGAGCAGGTTAATGGTTTTATTTGATTTGGTTTTGCGGTATTTGTTTCCTTGACCTCAGTGCTAGGTCGATGGAGCTCATTACGGATAGCTCGAGCAGGTTAATGGTTCTATATGATTTGGTTTTGTGATATTTGTGCTTTTGACCTCAGTGGCAGGTCAATCAAGCTCGTTACGGATAGCTCGAGCAGGTTGATGGATTTATTGGATTTGGTTTTGTTGTGTTTGTGCTTTTAACCGCAGTGGTGGGACTTTATTATGGATAGTTTGAGCAGATAGATGGTTTTGATTGGTTCGGTTATGTTGTATTTGTGATTTTGATCCCAGTGACAGGTCGATGTTGTTTATTGTGGATAACTCAAGCAGATTGATGGTCTTATTTGGTTTGATTATGTTGTATTTGTGCTTTTGATCCCAGTGGCAGGTCGATGGATCTTATTATGGATAGATCGAGTAACTCATAGCAGATTGAGGATGTTCACTTGGGGCAGTTCACTTGGGACTCATTACGGATAGCTCGAACAGACCTCGGTGGCAGGTCGATGGATCTTATTATGGACAGATTGAGTAACTCATGGCAGATTGAGGATGTTCACTTGGGGCAGTCCACTTGGGACTTATTACGGATAGCTCGAACAGACCTCGGTGGCAGGATTTGTTAGGTCGAGGATATTCATAACTGCTCGAGCAGGTTGATTGGATTTTATTTAGGGTTTTGGATGATATTCATTATTGCTCGAGCAGGTTGTTTGTTGATTCTGGTTTGTCGAATTTATTTTTCGACCTCAGTGGCGGGTCGAGTATATTCATTATTGCTCGAGTAGGTAGGTTGTTGATTGTTGATTCTGGTCTTTCGAATCTATTTTTCGACCTCAGTGGCGAGTCGAGTATATCCATTATTGCTCGAGCAGGTTGTTTGTTGATTCTGGTTTGTCGAATCTATTTTTCGACCTCAGTGGCAGGTCGAGTATATTCATTATTGCTCGAGTAGGTTGATTGCATTTTATTTGATTATGGTTTTGTCGAACTGATTTTTCGACTTCAAGGGCAGGTAGATGGGATTCGTTACGGTACGAGCAGGTTGATGGTTTTCGCTTGGTTTGGTCCTGTCGAATTTATTTTTCGACCTTGGTGGTAGGTCGAGGGAGTTCATTCAGAGCAGTTCACGAAATCAGGTCGTTTAAGTTTTGAGAGGATATACAGCAGGCTTGAATTTTAAATTTTGAACTGAGGGGCGATAGTAAGGGGTGGTCTAAGAGAGCTCGAACAGGATGATCGAAACACAATAGGCATAAGTTCAAATTTTCAAATTCAAGACTTCAGGGAGTGGTCATTCAGTTCTTGTTTTTCGACTTCATCAGCGGTATCTCGATTCTCGGTTTTCGATCGCAACGGTCTCTCGGTTCTCGATTCTCAGTTCTCGACCTCAACGGTCTCTCGGTTCTCAGCTTTCGACATCAACGGTCTCTTAATTCTCAGTTTTCGACTGCAACGGTCTCTCGGTTCTCAGCTTTCAATCTCAACGGTTTCTCGATTCTCGGGTTTCGACCACAATGGTTTATCGATTCTCGGCTTTCGACCTCAACAGCAGATCATTCAGTTTTTGACCCCAGTTGTCGTTCAACTTTCGGTGTTCGACCTCAGTGGCAGGTCATTAGGTTCTTGTCTTTATTGACAAATCTTTCGATTTTCGACCCCGGCGTCCGATCATTCGGTTTTCGACCTTCGTGGTCTTTCAGTTTTCGATCTTGAAATCTCAATGCTCATTTAATGGAGAAAACGAATATATGATATATGATATTATAATACACCCGGTTTAATGGAGAAAACGAATATATATTGGAGGATAAGCCCACTAAGACATCTAAGCACAACGATATGGGCCAAGCCCAACTTGAGCCCAAAAGGTACACTCCCCCTATAAAATGGGGTCAAGGTATCTCATTCTCACATTCTCTACTCATTTCATTACTACACTTTCTCTCTCTCTTGATGGAGCACTGACTTAGGCATCGGAGGCCGGACGTCGGGGCCACCCCCGGCGTTGGGTTCTGCAGGTATGGAGGCCGTTCGAGTTGAAGGAGTCGGGTGAGATCTATTTCACTTCAGGGCGGGAAAATCGTCCGCGTGTGCTCGGCGTTCCAAGGCGGCTCGCACGTCAAACGTGATGTCCTTCGGTGGCTCGTGATCATGGAACGAACGTTGTGCCCGAAAGTGGCGTAAAGATCTGATCTCAAAACTGACTTCCCAACCCGACGGAACCAGCATGACGCTCATTTCCTGTCCAGATGTGGGCCGGTAGCACCAAAATGACGACTAGTGTTGCGTGGATCCGACTGTCCGTGTAATTAAAGAGACGCTGAATTCTTTTTGTGTCTCGTCTGGTGCTAGTCCTGCATTGAAAAATGCGTTTTCTGGACGGGGAGGGCTTGGACGTGCAGCGGTCAAGGGAAGCAGTCGGTCCGGCGTAGCTCGGCTTCGTGTGGTGGCGAGGCGATGGCGGAGGCGCACGATGAGGCTGGCGAACTTGGAGGATTTTTCCGGCAAGAAAAATGAGAGAATGGGAGGGGGAGAGCTTCTGAATTTTCAGCAAGAGAGGGAGAGTGAGAGGGAAAATCTTGAGGGAGAGAGAGAGAGAGAGAGAGAGCCGAGAGTAGGAGAGTGATAAGGGGAATAGAGGTGGCCTTCCCTTTTTAAGAGCTAATCAAAATATAACATCTCCTAAAATAAATGGTCAAAAGCAAAATGAGGGGGATTAGATAGCTGATAATGGAGGATATGATTCCTCATTTGAATTAAAAAATTCAAATTAAGGGCTCGGGCTACCGGACGGGCTGCGCGACATCACGCGGGTGCGGGCTGGGTGATGCGGACGCGGGCCGCGGGCGCGAGACGTGAGTCGGCTGAGGGAAGGCCCGGTTCTTTGGCGCGCTCGGTTTTAAAAATTCCCGATTATGCTCAACGCTCGATTAAAATCCGAATAAACATGTTGCTCGATTACTCGGTTCGATCGATATAAATTCACAGAAATTCAATTACATAGAAAGACCCTAATTTCGAATTCAAGCCCTAAACTTTTCGAATTCAAGCCCTAAATTGAAAAAAACCCTAAAATTAGGAACAAAGCCCAAAAATCAAAAATTACCATTGCGCTTGTTAATGACTTCTTGGGTATCGAGGAGGAGGACGGTTTGCATGGAGATTTCTTTTGAAGTCGGCCATTGCTTCAAAGAGAGAAGAACGACGAGAGACAGAGAGAGAGACGAAGATGGCGATGGTGATGAACGATGAACGAGGAGAACGAGGAGAGGGAGAGGGCAGAGATGGCGATGGCGACGAACGAACAAAGAGAGCGAGAGAGAGAGAGAGAGAGATGGCC